CAACTGTTTGAAGACTTGTTATCCTTTTGCTTTTGATTACTACTTAAATTCTAATATGGTTAGAAAACATTCCTTCTATGATTTTCATTCTTTTAAATTTTTGAGATTTAATTTACTGCCCAAAATTTGGGGTGTTTTGATGAATGTTCCATTTGTCCATGAAAAGAAAAATTTGGGGTGTTTTGGTGAATGTTCCATTTGTACATGAAAAGAATGTGTATTCTACTGTTTCTGGGTGAAGTGTTTTATAAATGTCATTTAGCTCTTTTTTTTTTCTTTTTTTTTGCTGATTTGTCTACTATCTCTATGAGATCATGTGTTGAAGTTTCCAGCTATAATTATGTATTTTTCTTGCTTCTTTTAGATCTGTCAGGTTTTGCTTTATATGTATTCATTCACATTTAGAATTTTTATCTTTTTGATGAGCTGGGTCTTTTATCAGTTATGATCCCTCACATTATCCCTGGTAATTGTTTTGGTTCTAAAGTGTACTTTTTCTGAAATTAATTTAGCCATACCTGCTTTATATTTATTTATGTTTACATAGTGTATCTTTCCTTATCTTTTTTATTTTTAATCTACCTATATCATATTTTAAATGATCTTCATATATACTTATTTGTCTTTTCCAATTCAATCTGATAATCTCTGTCTTTACTTGGTGGCTTGATATGTCTAGAATTAGGATGACCAGTTTATTATTTGTTTTCCTTTTGATTCCTTAGTTTTTAGTCCCTTAGTTCTCTCTTTCCTACCTTCTTTTGTGTTATTTGAACCTACTTTAGTGTCATTTTCAGTCTTTGTCATATAGTTCTGTCCTTTGGCATCCTTCTTGTAAGCACCTCTTTTTCTTATGCAAGTGGAGGTTTTTATTGTTGTTGTTAGTTTTTTTTTTTAATTTCAAGTAAATTTTTATTTTATCCTGGACCTATCCTATCCAATATTAGGAACTATCCTAATATTGAAAATATATTACCTTAAAAGACCCCGGGTCTTATTTACATTCTATTGATGTTTTAGCACACAATCGACCTGGTTAGGTTTAGCTTACCTTCTGTGAGCTGTCATCAATGTTAGTTCAAACTTGCCCTTTGAGTTCTCTGCCCATGGTCAGTCTAGAGTCTGGGTGGAGTTTTATTCATTTATTCTCAAGATCTTTGGTATGCTAATAAAGATTGGAATCATGTGTGTGCATGGCAGTTTCCTGAATAGCATTTATGATGTTTCTTTCCTAAGATACTTCCTCTCTCCATATTTCCCCTTTTAGTATCTGCATTTTTATGGTTCCTCTTTCCTATCCTTTGGGTACAAACCTCTGACTTTTGTGATTGCTTCACAGTGTCCAGAGGACAGAGAGAAAAATGGTTTAGCATCCTCCCTGAAACCCACCACGTGGAGGATAAGTATATTCTCTTCCCTTAGAAATTTGACTCCTGTACTTTTGCCTCTCCAGCTGATTTCACTGTGGATAATGCCAGCCTTGTGAGAGTGTGTGGTAGCTGAAGCATTCAGAAATAGAGAAGGGGTGGCATGGCTTAAGCAGTAGAGAACCTGCCTATCAAGTGTGAGGCCCTGAGTTCAAATCCCACTACCACACACACACACAAGAAATAGAGAAAATAAAAATAATAGATCACCTCCCTGCATTGTTTCTGAACTCTTGGGTTTTCTTCTACCCAGAACTATAGTTTTTCCAGAATCTTTTTTTATACCATAGTGCTGTCTTCTGAGTTGCAGTCATGCCAGGGAGTATCAGAGGAAAGTTAAATGAATTACTCATGACCATTTCAGTGTGAATTTGAATTCTGTTTAGTCTTTCTTGGCCAAATTGCTGTGCCATATGCCCAGATTTTATAAGTGTGCTTATTGGAGACAGTGTTTAGTATATGTTTACCCTACCTTACCCAGAACTAGAACTGAATTCTAGATCAGATTTTCCCTGAATGTCAGGCAAAAACTCTTTTTTTCCTTAGACTCACGTTTATCCCATGTTTATCACTTATTTATCCCAAAACATCATGAAGATTACACTATTGATAGGCTGAGGAATGACTTAGTTGAGCTGTTTTCATTTTGGTTTCTCTCTCTGTGTTTTAGTGCATACATGCTTACTAATGCTAAGGTTCTACTGTCTTTTTCTTTGTTATGAATTGAGCCCCTTTTTCTCTTTTTCATTTCGTTGCCATTGCCTTTGCTCTGGATTTTGTTATTCTTTATCCAGACTGTTATAATAATAGTTAAGGGAAATGTATAACCCATTCCCCCATTTATACCTGCAATCAGTATTTTTTCTTTTTTTATTGTATTATTATACTGGGTGTACATTGTGACATTTACAAACGTTCTTACAATATATATCATAGTTGAATTCACCCCCTCCATCATTCACCTTTGTGCAATGTGTATTGAAACCTGTGAGAGTTTCCCTCTAAAACACAGATCAAATTGTTCCTACTGTTGGAAGTCCGCTAGTATAATAACCATATTCTAGGTTGCCATATGTGCTTATTTTTAGGTAGTTAAAAGATTCCATAGATGGATCATTTATGGGAGCCATTGATGTGAATTCTTATTTAGTGATCTGCCATAGCTTTCTTTTTTTCCACTTTTGTCCAACTATTTCTCATCTACAAGACAGAACACTCCTTCTGAAACACAAATATGATGCTTTAATTTACTTGTTCAAAACCATCTAATAACTACCATCATGCTTAGGCAATATCTAAAATACTTTCTATGACTTATAAGGCCCAGTAGCATCTCTCAGGACTCCCTCTCTCTCTTACTGTGCTTCAGCCCACATTGGCCTTACTGTTGTTCTGCAAATATTTCCAAGACCCTCCTTGCATTGTTAATTCTCTTGTTAATTCTAGTTTTCTTTCTTTCTTTCATATATCAATCATCTATCTATCTGTCTGTCTGTCTTTCTGTCTATGTATGAATATCTATCTCTGTGTAGGGGGGAGCTTTTCTATGTTTGTGTGTGTAGTGTGGGAGTGTATATGCAGACATGTATATACCTTCTCCTTATTTGAATGTGTTGAAGTATCATTTATAAAATTTTTATTATTTATTTCTTTGGTCATACTGGGGTTGCTAGGCAGGCACTGTACCACAATAACTATGCCCCAGCCCACTTTTGTATATTTAATGATTTTTTGGATAGGGTCCTCTATCTTTGGTACCTGTATCAGGTGCTGATCCTCTTACTCATACTTCCCACTAGCTGGTGAGTACCACCATGCCTGGCTTGTTGGTTGAGGTGGGGTCTCACTAATTTTTTTGCCTGGGCTGACCTCAAACTATGATCTTCCTAATTCTCCATCTCCCATATAGCTGGAATTACAGCTGTGCTCCACCATACCCAGCTAATATGTCATTTATTTAAATAGGGCTTTTCTCACTGCTTTCTGAAAAATAGCTTTCTTCCATAGCAGATAAGTTGTGCTCTGTTCTCTCATGCAGCCTTATTTTTCAAAACCTTTACTACTGTTTGTTCTTTCCATGTATGTACATATCTGTCTGTCTTTATCTATCTACCTATCTATCTATCTGTCTACCTACCTGTCTACCTACCTGCCTGTCATCATTTTCTGCCTATTTTTCTCTATCTGTCTCCCTGAAATAGAATGTATACTCAGGGTGGTAAGGAACTATTAGGCTATTGTGTTCATAGATCTTAAAACAAGATGGATGACTGACAGAAATTTGATAAATACTTAGTAAATGAATGAATGCATATACTTCTCTTCCTTTAGCTCAGCTTCTTAGAAGTGGTTTTGGTTTTTGTTTTTCCATAACATAATAAATTTATGTTCTTTCATGTTCTATCACAGAAAAAATAGTTGATTCATTTTCAGGATTTGTTTCTTTTCCACTTACTTACAATTTAAGTAGTAGAATGATAACTATCTTAATTACTTGTATGTTAACTTATAGCAAGCTTGGGTATGACCCACTGTTTTATAAACTAAAAAAATATTTCACAGACATTTTAAAAATTTATTTTGTGGTTTGGTAGTATAAGTAAAATTTAATTCAGTAATCTAGGTATTTGAGACTCTTTTGTCTAACATTGCAGTGGTGTTTTAAAAATTAAGTCTCTAGTATACTAACAATAGAAATTATGCTTAAGAAAGGGCAACTTCAGTAGCATCAAAGCTCCCCATAATAGTTTTAAAAATCTAAGTGACATCATTTGTGCAATAATCTCTATCAGTGTTGCCTCCTGCTGTTTATAAATGTGCAATGCTAAACCATCACATTTCTACCCTGATCCATTCCCTCTTCTACCCTGGACCATTTCACTGAGGTTGCTACTGTCCTCAATTTGGTGCTTATCATTTCCATCTTCTTTTATTATTTTTACTAAAAAATAATAAAATTATGTGTCTGCATAATTAGCAGGTAGAGTTGTTTCATTTTACAACTTGCTATTTTTGTTAATGTTTCATTTCTGAGGTTTGTCTGTCCATAATTACTGCATTTTAAATGCCTGCAGTATTCCATTCTGAATGCATAGTAATTTATTTATTCCTGCTCATGTGGATGGACATTTGGGTTATTTCTAAGTTTTTGTTACTATAAGCAATACTGCAGTATTTTTTGTTTTCTTTTTTTTTGTACATGGGCAAGAATTCCTCTAGACTACATACCAAAGTGGGGATTTGCTAGATTAGAGTACTTATATTCAACTTTAATAAGCATTCTTAGGGCTATAGAAATACATATGTATATCTACAGTATATATGAGTTTTCTTTTTTTATAAACACACAAGATTTGTTGTTAGACCTTTTAGCTTTTTCTCCTTTTATGTATGTGAAATGGCATCTCAGTTTTGCAATATCTATTAAAATGTTTTCTTAGGTTCCTGAAACTAATTCAATTAAATAAATGAAGGTTCCTTAAAATAGCAACTATTTTTTACTTTCATTTTTGCTAAATGTATGCATTTCTCCTTTCCTTTCTATGAGTGATTATGGGTTGTCTGTTTTGGTAGCTCTGGTTGAAGAAGTCTATTTTGCACAGAAAGAACGTGATGAAGCTGTTATGTCTAGACTGCGACTAGCCATTGAAGAGAGAGATGAAGCAATTGCACGAGTCAAGCATATGGAAATGTCTCTAAAAGTGTATGTACATATTCAAAATTACATGTGATGTCAGGAACATTTATAAACTGCATGCTTGTGTGGTGGGCACATAGTCAAAAATGTTACTGAATCTTATTGTTGTGTGAGGACATTGCATATCCCTCAATCTTTTTCTAAGTCCGATTGTTTTCCTGTCAGAGATTATAATCAATTTTTTTAAAAAGAAAGAAAGCAAAAGAAATGTACATTACTGTCAGTATTCAGTTGCTAATGTCCTTACTCCATGTTCCCAGGTTACTCTTTTTCTTTCTGATTATCGCCTCTCTTCCTTATTGCTACTTTCTTGATTTATTTCAGTCTTTCATTGCCCTCTGTTTAATATTCCTGCTCCTGTTGTTCAGTACTTTTTCTCATTCTTTTGGCTTTGGCTCTTAAACTTTAGTGACACTTGGAATAGAGTGGAGTCTTAATAGTCTACATTTTTGACAACCAGGCAATTTTAATAGGTCAATAATCAAGCACACTTAGAAAAACAATGTCTTAGAAATAAGTATTTCTCAAATTTTAATGTGCAAACCAGTCTCTTGGAGGATCATGTTGGAATGCAGATTCTGCTTCAATAAATCTGGAGTGGAACCTGAGATTCTGCCAGGTGGTACAAATCATGCCAGTCCTAGGGAAATGCTTCTAGAAATATCTTTATCTCTATAAAGTTAGACACAGTGTAGAATTTAATGTTTAATGATGATCAGTCAATATAGTTATAGCATCTTTGCTTTGCCCAGAATTGTGCTAAGCCCTGTGGAGGGCCAGAGTAAAATATACCTAAAACATGGAGACAAAAACCACAAATAACAAATAGCAACAGTGTTAAAGTTGAGATTAGATCCTATAATCTGTTTTTGTGTTTACATTAATGGCTTCATTTGCTGAACATTGATAGAGATGCATTCTAAAGCATTAAATTCATTGAAAAATACAAATAAAAATAGATTCACTAAATTCCATACTCCTTATTCCAAAATAACCGCTTTTTATTTTTTCTTTTCAGGTATCACATAATAATTATATGTATTATAGGGTAAATTATGATAATTCAGTGCCTATATCCAGTGTATACTAGTCAAATCAGGATAATTAGCATTTTCCTCTCTTTACCTTTTTTTTTTTGGTGGCACTACAGTTTGAACTTGGGGCCTTGTGCTTGCTAAGTGTGCACTCTACCATTTTGTGTGTGTGTGTGTGTGTGTGTGTGTGTGTGTTTATTGTTGTGCTGGGTAGGGGTACATTGTAGCATTTACAAAAGCACTCTATCACTTGAACTGTGTCCCAAGTCCTTTTTTTTAATATAGATATTTTTCCTATAGGGTCTTCTGCTTTTTCCCCAGGGCTTCAGATCTCAATCTTCCTACCTATAATTACACAGAATTGCAGGTGTGAAACACCGCAACTGGCTTATTGTTTGACATGGGAGTCTCACTAACTTTTTCCCAGGCTGGCCTCAAACTGCAGTCTTTCCAATCTCTTCCTTCAGAGTAACTGGAATTATAGCCATGTGCTGCCACACCTGGCCTCCTTACCATTTCCTTATGGTGGAGCCTTCAAGTTTCTCTCTTGTAGTATGTAATATGTTATTGTGAACTATAATCATCCTACTGTAGTGTAGAACACTGGAACTTATTCTTCCTAACTATTTGGTACCTGTTACCCAAATTTCCTTTACCTCTGCCCAAATCCCTACCAACCTTATTAGCCTCTAGTAATTACTTTTTTACTCTGTCTTTAACATTAACTTTATAAACATATGAGAAAGAATATGTGGTATTTGTCTTTTGGTGCCTAGCTTATTTCACTTAAAATGATAGCCTCCAGTTCAAATGGCAGAATTTCAGTCCTTTTTTTTTTTTTTGGCTGTGCTATAGTTTGGATTTTCATTGTCCTTCAACCTGTGGCAATGTTGGAAGATGCTAAGACTTTCAAAGGTGGGCCTATTTGGAAGAAGTTAGGCCACTAGGGGCATGTCTTGCAGAGACTGTTGAGATCCCAGTTCCTTCCTCTCTCTGTTTTTGCCTCCCAGTTACCATAGGTGAGCAGTTTATTCTGTGTTGTGCTCCCGGCCATGATGTAGTGCCTTATCACAAGCCCAAAATAAATTGTGCCAAATGACTTTATATTAAAACCTCTGAAACTGTGAGCCCCTAATAAGCTTTTCTTTCTTAAAATTTCATGGTTTCTGGTATTTTGTCACAGTGACAGAAAACTGACTGATACAGGTTGAAAAAGATTCCAATGTAGAAATATACCATATTTTCTTTATCTATTCTTCTGCTAATAGATACCTTAGTTGATTCCGTATCTTGGCTATTGTGAATAGTGCTGCAATAGACATGGAAATGCAAGTATCTCTTTGATATGTTAATAATATTTCCTTTGTATATATACTCAAAAGTGGGATAGTTGGATCTTATACTGGATCGTTTTCTAGGTTTGTTTTGAGGTACCTCCATACTGTCCTTCATGGTGGATCTCTTAATTTACATTCCCACCACACACTGTAAGAATTCCCCTTATTTTACATCCTCACCAGCAGTTATTTTTTCTCTTTTCATAATAGCTGTTTTGACTGGGGTGAGATATCTCATTGTGGGTTTCCCTTGCATTTCTTTGATTGTTAGTGATGTTGAGCATTTGTTCAAATACTTGTTGGCCATCTTAATAAAGAAACACTGTTTCAAATATTTTATATATTCTAGAAAGATAGTGGTTGAATGGATGTGTCTATAGAATTCTTTATGAAAATCAAGTCACTTGTTATGTGCTATTTTATTTGAGAGAGTAGCATAGAAGTGAAGGGCTTGGATTCTGGACCCCGTAATGTACCCTTAAATCTCGCTGTGCTGCATCCTAGCGGTATATCTATGGGAAAATTCCTCAAGAATCTCTGGGACTTACTCAGTTATTGATATACAAAATGGAAAAAAAATGGCCCACTGTATAAAAGTTGTTATGAGGGCTAAATGACTTAGTAAGTATGGAAAGGTACCTTGCTCATCGCAAACATGTCTTGAGTTTAAGAGTAATAGTTAAGGTGAACCTCAAAAAAATTTTGAGTAGTGGAATGTTTTCTCACTGAGAAATATCCATTCCCCTAATGGGGGAGAAGGAGAGGAGGGTCTGTTAGGCATATGAAAGAGAAAATGTGGGGAGTGGGAATAAGAAAGGACAATCAGAGGAATGAGTATGACCAAATACTCATGCATACTATATGCATGTATGGAAGTACAATAATGGCATTACTTTATGCAATTTAAAGTGTTTTAAAAAGAAATATTAATTCCTAATGATACTTCTGTTATAGGAAAAGAAGCTATGGCTTAATTAAGGTATTAAATCATCTAAAATTTTTTATTCAATATGGCAGTTAAGCAGTATCATTTGACTCTTAGCTATGAAATAAACACTTAAACTTCATTTTTCTTTTTCTTTACTAACACTACTTTAAAATACTTGTAAAAGTTGTATTAATTTCTATAGACAAAGTGCCCCCTGTCATACCTTTACAGATTTAAGCTTAAAAGTTAAACTTAAGTTAAATTAATTTAAATTTTAAAAGACCAAATAGTAAGAAAAGGATGTAGGAGGGTGAATATGGTGTAAATATTATGTAAACATGTATGAAAGTGGAAAAAGGAGACCTGTTGAAACTACTCTAAGAACACAGGTAGGGGGGATAAAGGAGAATGATGGAAAGGGTAAATTTAACTAAGACATATTTTAAGCACTTTTGTAAATGTAACAGTGTGCCCCCAGTACAACAATAATATAATAAAATTTTTTAAAAAATTAATAAAGTTAAAAAATCGATCAAGTAGTCATTAGAACTTTGATCATAAATGGTATTTTTTTTTTATTGTGGGAAATTCACAGATGACTGAATTTCATTTTCAACTAGATTTTTCCTGTTTTATTTCACTCTTTGTTTCATTATCTTCTCTTTAAACTTTGTTTTACTGAATGAATGTATTTTTCTTAAATGCAAAGGAATAGTAAAAATTTTTTCTTTCATTTCCTTATGTGTTAGTCTGTGCTGCTATAACAGAATAACTGAGACTGAGTAATTTATAATGAATAGAAATGTATTGGGTTATAGTTCTAGAGGCTAGGAAATACAAAATCAAAGTACCAGCATCTAGCAGGGTCTGGCTGACACATTACATGGTAGAAAGCAGAAAGGCAGAAGGGCTTGGACTCACTCTTTTGTGATGGCATTAAGCCTAATGCAGGTAGAGCTCTATTGGCTTAATTGCCTCCCAAATGTCTTACCTCTTACTACTAGTGGCAATTAAATTTTGCTGTGAGTTTTGGAGGGGTTGGACATTCAAACCATAGCACCTTGGTTTATATTTTCTCTTTTATTATGATCTTGTTTTTGTAGCCTGATGTGCTTTGTGTTGAATTTGTAATGTGTTTATAGCTGCATGTAATTTTTTCATCTTTCTTACGTTTAAAAACAAACAATTCTGTCAAGAACTTCTCTTTGTTCTAATATGATATCGTTGTGTTTTCCTTGATAACTATTTCTTCCTATTTGAGACCTATTTGCCATCTCTGAACTGTAGTTTGTTGGCTAAGTATTGTTCTATTGGAAACTTTATTTGTATCCCTTGGGCAGTAGGGTGAAGATAGAGGTTAGGAAGCCCTCTCTGGGTTTTCTGCCCCTTTGTTGGAGGTTCTGTCTTCTACTTACAGGATTTTGTTTGATGTTGTGAACTGAGAGTTGATGCTGTCTGGTCTTGTGTATATCCTTATTCAATGGGATATTACTTTGTTGGCTTTTGTTTGTTTTACCATTGTACTAAAAATTGGCCAGCTGTGATGATATTTGCTTTTTTTTTTACAGATTTTTCAATAATACAGGCTTCTACCCAGGAAGGATTTTCTTTACTTTTTTTCCTGGGGTAGCTAGTCTACTCATTATTTCTTCCCAGTACCCATTTTCTTAGGTAAAAGTAAGAGTTAAGAGAATTTAGCCAAAATCA